GGAATAGGAAGCTTAAGTCAATAAGGGCTAGAGATTCAATCGAGATAGTTCCCTTCAAAAAACAGATCATTACTCAGGAATAGCCCCTAAAAAGTACGTCGAAGTGGTTACGCCGGGAAATATATTATCCTCTGAAATTTATTACATACATAAAATCTGCCGGCAAAACTTTGCCGACGGCTCAATTTAAAGCTGGAAGAAATATTGAGCACCAAGATGCCGAGCCTTTTTGAGTAGTACTTTTGGCATTTATTCTGAGCTAGCTGAGGCAGCCTAAATGAGCTTTTCGCTATGGAAGAGCTTCCAGAAACTTCAAAGAAGTTCTGTTTCGAAGCTGATTGGATTTTTAAATTGGCTTTTACCCAAAGAAATTCGAACTTATTTGCACTATGGCTCCTGCATAGGATCTATTCTCGATATATCCTGTTCTGAAGAACATACCGTAGTTGACGTAGGTATAGTAGTGCCATTTATAGCCGATAAAAGGCGAAGATTCCAAAAATCAGCAACCATCGCATTGGCGGTGATACAAAAACAAAGCACTTGAAGCATTAACGAGAAAATCTCGGCTGGCCATGAACTCTGTAAAGGGGTCTGTAAATGAGCTATTTGGGTGGGGGGAGTTGATAAAGGGAACCACTGACAATCATTAATAGCCGGGAAGCACCGGCAAATACGACAATGGTAGTGATCCAGTGGGTATTGATGTAGAGATCCAAATGTGAAGATTTTTCGGCATTCTGAAGCGATGCCACCAATGCATTCAGGAACCCAAAGAATCCAGTAACCAGTTGAAATACCGAAACGCGTTCTGTCGATAGCATAGGGTCTTCTGAAAGACAGTGGATTAGCGGGAAAAAGTCTCACGATCACGGAAGCACAACCAATCGATAGAGTTGTCCGAATATCTCGAAAAAAATCGATCAATACACGGAGCTATGAAAATGGGTTGAAAATTGAACTCCTTTTTGGATGGGTTGAATTAATTTCGTCCGTTTTGGGAATATTCATCAAGTTATAGGCAAGGTATTCCGGAGTGCGCCATGCACTTGTCTCCTATTGGAACCGTGGTTGTGTTTGAACCATAGCTGGACTATACAATGGATTTTGGCGTCGAAGGATTTACTATCCAGGGCTTTCATTCCCATAGCTTATCAGGCCATACATAGGTATCTAGTGAGATAGGAGATTCCTTAAATTCTCTTACTGAAAAAGATCCTTTCGTGGTTTCTGTTTCGTGACCATGCGTGTGGCTGCAATGCCACTCAGCACGGATTTTTCCAAATCGGAACTTGTCTTTGGAAAGAGTTCTATTCAAGATGTGAAAATGGTTCTATGAAGAATCCGAAAAAAGGTCTGATTAGTTTATGATTCTGATCATTCGATCATGTACGGGGTAAGTGCGCCGTAAGCCGCTCCTCCAGGTTCACTAGCAGGTGGTACAAGTGCTTATCACTGCCGAAAATCGCCTACAGAAAAGTTGAGAATCTTTCACTTCCGGTTAAAAAAACTTTTGTCAAATCGTAACCATAAGGAACAGAAAATGGGCAACGATTGGTAGGGCTCCAACTAGGGCTATGGGTTACAGCACGTAATGGTTAAGGGTGATGAATGTAGCTGAAAATTGAGAGCAGACCTTATAGACGAATTTCCAACCATAGAACTAGCGTCTTCAAGGTATATTACCATACATAATAACAAAGATAAGCCTTATCGGTGTTTACAAAATGAAAAATAAAGTACATACTTGTGCGTATCAGTAATGGCTTCTATTTTGTCAGCAAAATGAAGTTTTTACTAAAAAGACATTGAAAAGGGAACAACTCTTTTTGACTTATTCCCATTCAGCTAGACAGTGATTTCCATGAAAAGAAAAAGGCGAAGATAAGGAACTCTGTAATAAAATAGGTAATAAAGGAAACGAGCCAAAAAGTTTTAGACACAAATGTAATCTCAAGATATTGAAAAATCGTATGTTTATTAAATGAAAAAAGCAGATATGATGCAGTGGCGAAGGGCGCGCTATAACACAGGCATGGCCCGAGGATCGTATGTCGGATCGATACCCGCCCAAGCCAACCAAGCCTCAAATCCGTCGGAGACCGGCTAATTGGTACCGAATTCGTCTGGGAGGATAAAAGCACTTACTTGTACATCGGCTAGCCACCACATGCCATTGTATAGGCCACATATGTATTTAGTATGCCACTACGATTCTGAATGGGAGACGAATGCGGGCGCATCCCTAAAATGGGATTGCTTCATGCCCACCCTTCACATTACAGAAAGGATCAAAAGAACAGAATGTTATGATGTTGAATGAATTCCGTATCATGGATGCGCTCCGCATCCACCCTCCATTCAGAATCGTAATGGCGTATTGAATGGGTATGTGGCCTATACAATGACTTGCGGTGGCCAGGCGAAGTTCAAGTTAGCGCTTTCATCCTCTCAGACGAGTTTGGTACCAATTATCCGACTCTGGAAGAATGGAAGGCTTGATCAGCCTACGTGGATATCGATACGCGATTTGAACCCGTGACCATGCGTGTGAGAAAGTGCTCTACTTGCCACTTCACCACTTCCGCCCTTACTACAAAAAATTATCATAGTTATATGTAACAATCAATCGCATTAGTATGAGATAAAGCAGGTGATATGTCTGAGAGCATCTGGTACATGTCGAAAGTCAATAAATAAACAAAATGGTGAGTCAAGATTGAAGGCGTTCGGCTATGAAACATCTGTTTAGCTAGAACATTACACTTTGTCGTCAAAGTTTCGGCGTGTGTTCTCAGTTATATGATCTTGAGCGGCGTTTTCGTCTTCGAAGAATGCTTTTTGATCCCTCGTGTGAGAACTGACTCTCAATTCAATGACTTCACAACAAAGTACATTCAATAGATGTATGAGCGACCTTCAACTGTTCCCACCCTACTTGAATATCTATCTTTGGAAGGACCATGGATATCTGATGAGATTAAGGAATGCTCTGCATCAAAAAATTACGATCGATAGGTAAGCAAGTGTCTTCTGAGAAACTGGAATCCCTAGATAGGCCTCGAAAAGAGTTCAAAATTTTATTTATTTCAATTTTAATTTCAAGGGAGATATGCTCTTTTCGAGCTACATTGTCCATAAAAATTATTAATGTATATAATTTTAATATAAATCGTGCAATTGACAATTATTTGTCAGCTGCCTGCTTTGAATGGCTCTGTGGTTCAGGAAAAAGTCATTCAAAATAATATTTTAGGTAATAAGAGTATTACCTGGCAACCTAGTAAAGGCATTGAGCGCTATGGTAGGCAATATATCAAAGAATAAGCGAGTTTTACAGTCGTACAGGGGATTAGGATTGGGGAGATGTACCCATTAGGGATGAGTGAGTGGGATGGAGGTTGAAAAGAGGGTCATGAAAAAAAAATTCTTCACAAACAAACAAAAATAGGTTAGAGCAGTCTGAGACGCAGTTTTGTAGGAGCTAAAAGTATTTTTCGATGCCCTTCGTCTTCCCCTTTTGGCCTTGAATTAGGCAAAACTTCAAAAAACTAGAACTCCTGTGAAAAAACTAAAATACACATGGCAACTACAGGTAGTACAAGACATTCAGAGGGTTATTCTGCACAGAGTAAACTTTCTCAAGAGCGAAAATGAAGTTTATTATGTTGAAATTAATCCCAAACTGGGATAGGGAAGTCTTCGAAGGTCAGAGTGGTGGTTTATGGTCCTTGAAATCAACGAACCAATCGCCTATTGATTCAGGTTCCAGTTGGTTTCAGTTGGATAGCACCAGCAAATCTACATAAACCATGCTGAACAAACACTATTCATTCACGCCTTTTCGTCAATGGAACATCGGCGTCGAACCTGATTTGATCCTCTTACGGGGCCACTTGTCATCTCACCACACCAATACAACCTCCCGTTAGTGTTTGCCATACAACAGCCCTCAAATGGGCAACAAAAAGTTTGGGACAGGGCAGAAAGGTTTGGGAACGATGGTAACGGGGGTTCCATCGATGATGTCGTAGAGAACCCCCATAATGACAGCAAATGACAGCAAATTTGACGACGAATAGGCATGAGCTGGGCTGGCGGTGTTGATGGGTAGAGAGAAAGGAGAAAGGCAAATGGGGCGTATGGCGTAGGGCGGAGAGACGGGAAAGGGCAAGATTGACATTTTGCTGCATTGCACCTTAGAAGGACGGGAATCAGAAGAATTCGAACGCCGTACAGGTCAGGGAATCGCTAAGGAAAAGTGTAAGGCAATCACTCAAATTCAATATGTTCTGACCACCATTTCAGCTCGCTATGGGAATTTTTTCGCAGTAACTGGTTGTTATGGGAGTTGGCCAAGGTCAGGACCTTCACCAGTCCGGCTTTTTAAGGATTTTTCACAACCCGCACCATCTCAAAGAAACCTAGAGATGCTCTATATTTGGGCATACGCAGAAGTTGTTGAAAGGGTACTTTACTCACCACTTTCTTACCTGAGTAAACTTTTCGGAGCCAATAGGGCTGTGCACTTTGAACTAAAGTAAACGGTGCAAGTGCCCAAGAAGGTCGTGGCCAAATAAAATAAATTTTTTGAATCGTTGGAAAAGTTCTAGAACTCTTTTTCAGCCATTGGTCCGAGTGCTCCCACAGTAGCCTACCGTAACACTGAGTTCCATTCCACTCAAGATCATTCTTGGCACAAATTGTGTATTTCCTAGATTACCAGCTTTAGAATTACTGTAATACCAAGGGAAGCTGAAGGGATAGGAGCTTGAGACACTCCTTTTTGAATCCACAGCTCTTCGGTTAAATCTCATCTACAGCTTAGGTGAGTAAGGTGGAGGTGTTTGATAGGGTCCTGCCCTCCCTGTTGATCAAAAGTTCTTATATTCTGTTGGAATGACCAAAATTACATTCAAATGCTTTGAAGATGCACATGAAAGTCGGGTGCATGGCCCATTCCAGAAAGTCCATTGGGGACAGAGCTCACTCAATCCTTATACTTGCCCACATTTTCAGAAAACACAAATGTAATCAAACTGAATATGTCTTGATCGGCCAACCAAGACGCTATCACGTTTTTGTAGGATGCGTCATGCGTTTCATTTCTGTTTTCTATTTGGAACTCTGACGACGTCAAAAGAAATGTCGTACAATTCGTCGTATCACAGCAAGACGCTTTTCTCTGTTTTGTGCCATACAAAGGAAGCTGCAGAGTGGTTCTGAACAGCCCTAGAAAACGAAAAAGTGCCTTGCTGTGACATTCTGAAGATAACGCTTGACGAGGAAAAAAAGTTTGGCACGCGAATGTGTACTTGCCCGTTTGGCAAACGAAAAAATGCAGTGTTCCCGGAGAAATCACTGGAGTCGTTCTAAAACAGGCAGGAGAGCAAAGTACGCCAGTAAAACCCTGAAGTTCACGTGGACTTGGGTCAAGAACTTGGGTTTGGGTAAAAAAGTAAAGTAGAAATTACAGAATTCCTTTTAATTTGTTTTTTACGGCTAAGATATAGAGTACATAGATGAACTGGACCAAAGCTGTTACCCTGCTGATTGTCAACACCTCAAGAGTACGCCATGCACTTGCACTTCTTCTTCGAGGCCATGGGATCATAATAATGAGTGCTCGATCTATCTAAAGAACCACAAAGAAAGCTAATGCTCTGGTTGGATGGACGCCAACACAATCATTTTAGTTTTTTTAACTTCTACCCTATCCCGAAGGTAGGGAATGGTGATTAGTAGGGTCGTAGTCCGTTCTTAGGAACGGTTTGAGTTAGATGCCCCCGTTCATGGTCTTCATCTTCAGGACAAGTCAAGGAGG